TCTGAGATGGGATAGGATCGAGCTGGCAAGTGGGGGGCGAGAGGAAAAGAAGTGCAGCCACCTCTTGTTCAGTAGCTGGGGAGAAAGTCTGAAGGGTAGGAAAGGCATGATAAACATGTTGAGAAAGAACGGCAAGGTGGGGAGAACGGTTTCCTTAGCTGTTCAATCTTGTCGGTAAAGTAGCATGCAAAGCCGCTACTTTCAATGATTTAGAAGACACTTTTTCTCTGTCATTTTTTATTCTAATGGCAATATTTCACCAATTTTTTTTTAATAGCTTACATTTTCTGCATCAAAACTTACTATGATTAATGAATAAATCAATCTGTCTGGGATTTATGTGGCCAATTTGTTCAGGCCTAGATTAACAGAAATTCTATTTGTTTGTCGCAGGTGAGAATTATTAAAATAGTTCTGAAAGCACTTATTGAGCACAGAATGTTTAAAGGGACACAATAGGCACCCACATATGAAGGTGCCCTGTTCTGCAGAATGGCAATGTTGTCATTGCAGTGTTTAGAGTACCTTTAGTGGCTGACACTCAGACTGCCAGTAAAACTGTTCTATTTCTATCAGATGGTCTCAGAGAGTGCAGTGTTTTGGCATGCACGCATTCTAGCCTCTCAATGTTTTACTATTGGATAGCATTGGATTGGCAGAGATTATCAAGATTATAATCATAACCAAGGAGGCAGAGCCAACTACAGAGAATGGCGCTGCAAGGACTATTTTTCTTCATGGAGATGGGTTGTGGTCATGGTACTTGACACTTCAGGTTGACCCATATTTATTTATTATTTTTTTTAATGTGTGATATCGGCCACGCATTAAAAAGGTCAGCAAAACAAATTAACTAAAACTAAAAAAGTGCAGTTTTCATCATGTTACTGTAGAGACTAACTACAACTCAAAACACTTTAATGCTCCTGATAGACAACATTTGGGAATAGAATGATAGCCATGCACACATTCAACCTTTCCCATAGGAAAGCATTGAGTCAATAGGTGCTTCAGTCACATGACTACATGACTGAGGTTGAACCCGTCAGTGCAGCAGAAGCACCTCTAGTGGCTGTCATACAGTGAGGTAAACTTAAGCCTGAAATGTAAGCATTGAAGTTTCTTAACCCCTTAAGGACACATCACTGAAATATTCCATCATGATTTCTTTTTATTCCAGAAGTTGTGTCCTCAAGGGGTTAAGAATCTTTATATTTTTTTTTATTTTTTTTTGATGAATTGGTCTGGGTGACTATAGTGTCCCTTTAAGGAGATGCAAATCCAATCCCTGCACACTGCCTGCATTACATACAATAGTCTGCCACTCAATGTTACAAGGTAGGTGCTCTGTAGTAGAGTAGGCTGTGAGGGCAGTCCGCTCTCCAGGAGAAAATGCTATTTTGCTTAGAAAGTAGCTATGCCTGATGGAGTAGAATCATGTTTTTGTTTGAGTGTGTTTATTTTTTTTTTTTTTATTTATTTATTTTTTTTTACACACACAGTAGCTCTGTTCTTCACTACATTCAAATCATTTTTACTTGAACTCAATCTTTCTGCTTTTTACATACGTTAAATTGGTGGACATTATGCAAGTACCTACACTGTAAACCTACAAGAACATTGAATATAGTTTGGAAGGTCTGCATAGTAGTGCAAACAATATAATGGAAAAGAAGGGGGGTATTCAAATGCACAATTCAACATCTTAATTCAGTCAGGAACAAGAAAAAACAAGCAAAAAACTAAAATAAATAAATAGTACCTGGAAGGAGCTACGCCTACTAGATTAGGGCCCAGTCCTCTGAACAGGGAACGGGTACCTTCCTTCTGCAAGATCATTCTGAAAAAGTAGATAGAAAAAGTATAGTTTTTAAATTGCTAGACAATGAAACTTTATTGTTCAACTCAACTGAAGGAGCAATAGTCTACATCACAGGCAGCACAAACTTTATTCTCTGTATATAGAGGAAAATCTAATTTCTGATAAATACATACTGAAAATTTGTATTTAGTGCATGCTCATTCAGTACATAAACACCATGAACGGAACTACTTAATTAAGCTAAAGTTTTTGTGACTATAGTGTCCCTTTAACATAGAACAGGGCTTGACTAATTTGCTTTGAAACTAGGGGCCAGATTAAAAAAAAAAAAAAAAAAAAATATTAGAAGCCAGGTCTTTATTAAACTTACAAAGCTTTATTTTCAATGACAAAAGTTAAATTCTTAAAGGGACACTATAATAATCAGGACCATTACAGCTTAATGTAGTGATTCAGATGTATATATAGACGGTCCCTGTAGGCTTTTCAATGTAAACACTGCCTTTTTACAGAAAAGGCAGTGTTTACATTGCTGCATAGTAACACCTCTAGTGGTAGTCACGCATGATGGCCACTATAGTGATTCCTATCTCAGTGCTGTTCATGGAGGAGCTAAACATTCCCAATATAAATGCATTGATTCAATGCATCTCTATGAGAAGATGTGGATTGGCGCAGCATTTTGCAGCGCATGGAAATAGCTTCCCAATGCTTTCCTATGGCGTGAGAGACCGGCGTGGCTTTTTGGAAAAAAAAGGGGAGTAAAAACACCATTACCATGCGATCAGAAGGGGGCTGGTCACCTAAACACACACATACATTGACAGACACACTTGGGAGAGCCGGATTGGATCAGCTTTCCCTGGTGTCCAATGGGCAGCCGGCTGTTGGACATTGCAGGTAGGTGGCGAGGGAGAGCGGTTATTTGTCGAGCCCTGACATAGAATATTGTATTTCAAGTGAATTGTGTTTATCAAACAGCAGTAGTAATAAATAAATCTCCAAATTCACACCCTACAGTTTGTGAAAAACTAACTAAGGGCTGAATTTCCTCTCATTAGCCAAGTAATTTGGTTAAAGCAAAACATATACTAACTGGAATAGCCTCTCACCACAACATATTAATTATGTTTAAATGACTTTATTAATCAACTCTAAACAGGAGATCTATTGAACCAACTAAAGCAAAAAATAAATGTAATTTATTTATTTATTTTAAAAGAGCAACCACTCCAGTAAGGTAATGTCAATATACTACACAAGACGATTTAAAAAAATACAACTAGAATATTTACATAGTTTCTAAAACCACAAAGAGGTTAGATATGTTTTGCATTGAACCCACTGCCACTTCATTAATCAATGTATCTATTAAGAAGATGGGGACATTGGTCTCTAGTGAAATTGGTTCGCTACCATGGTCACTTACATTAGAACTAGCAAATTTGTAAAAGCTCAGTTACATTTCTTGTCCTAACCAACTGGCTGAAAATGTATACCTTAACCCAGCAGACGTTTAGGCTTGCAAAAGATTTCTAAATTCTCACTAGAATGAGAATTCAAAGTGGATTTCAAATTGATAGCCACAATAGACAACCTGTAAAGCCTCTAAGCCTTACAGTTCAACTATTTTGGCATTACATTTGAAATTCACTTTGATTTCTCACTAAAGAGAACTGTCGGGAATTCAGAGTGAACGTCAAATTTAATTTGGTCTAAAACATAAAATTCACTTTCAATTAATGACAATCATCATTTTGAGTTTAACTCCATAGATGCTTCTCCTCTGAGTTTACTGTGCTATACCTGATCATTCTAAGCACCAAATCCACTTCACCTTAATGTAGCAGTCTTGGTATCTCATATTGAACAGTGAAAAAACATGGCTGTTTATATTTGTAAACAGGCATTCAGTCAAGAAAAGGTGCAAGCTGATGTTCAAGATGTTCTCATGAAGAGCTTTGAAACTGTATGGTCTTCTTGTTTAGCATCATCATGCACAGAATGCTTCTCATAGCGAAGCACTGGACTCAATGCTTCACTATAAGAAGCAAAGAATTTGCGGAGCATGGCAAATGCACCATCCCAAACAAAATTGCCGAAAGCCATCAGTGGTAGAGAGGCTTCTCTGAGAAGACTATGTAACGGTTATTTAAAAATAGGATGGACCGTGAAGGAATCTAAACACTCTGATGTTATAAATAACCATTTCAGATCAACATATTTTCTTTGCCCAATATGGCATATGAAAGAAAGAAGTCTAATTCCCTAGAGGGAGCTAGAGTGTGTTTAAGGGGACAACCAATTTCATTGGTCCTTGCACTATTTAAATGACGACTTAAACAGAAGGGTTCCACTTATGCCTCAGACTAAGGCGCTTTAGAAGCGCCGAAACACCAGTCATACTTCAACTTAGATTTTAAAGCACTGAACAGTTTGTTCTTCACTTTGATTATGGTGGGAGAATTGTTGTGGGTAATTTAATGAGGGGAAAACCTTGTATATCTGAACCTTTTTTATAAAACCGGCATTTAGTCAGTAATGGACATTAGTACCCTTCTAGCCTTGTAACACTTCAGACTGTTACAGAGTATATAGAAATAGACTATTATAGACATTTGGATACATTATGTCCACCTAGATACAGAACCGTCTAGCTATTTTGCGCATTAGCTATGGAGGCTAGGCAGCCTTAATGCACTTGGCTATACTTATTACATTAGCCCACTTTAGAAATCACGGCTGTTCCTAAGTTTTAGTAACTAGGGAGACAAGTTACTTTATCAGACCTATAGCTATAATTAAGACTGCTTCATACAAGACTCTGTAGGAAACTGGCTCTCCTGTATATATATGTTCCACAAGGATGTATACCTTGTACATTCCATTATTAGGTATTTAAGCAGAACCAATATGAAATCTCAGCGGTGACATCACATGCATAAACGCTTAATTCTACATTTAGTAATATAGGACTAGCTGGTATAGTGGTTGCAACGCTCTAAAGCCTTAGCAGATATATGCTCCCAACGTGTTATCAACTGCTTGCACGAGCTACATCCCTTCTTACATACATGGTTCAGTTTTTATTTTTTCCTATGTTTATTAGTTTATTCTTTATTTTTTTTAAGTCATCCCAATAAAATGGGTGGGGGTGGGAGGGGACTTCCTTTTTTGCCCCGAGGCCATTTGTTCTTTAATATGGCATATGGGTACAAGCTTAGAAAATCATAAAATAAACAGCACTGAAGATAAAATGTAAATATACAAATATTAGGGGATTCAGTGTGAACAGCACTCTGGGTCGGTTTAAGGATTTATTTTAAATTGTTTTTATTTTACACTACATTGGCTAACATGCATTTTGCTGCCCTCCCCAATGCATCTTAACCTGTGTGTCACTTATCCCCTCTTTTGAATTTCTTATCCCCCATTTATGTGTCTCTCTCACCTTCCACCAGCCCAGAGAAAGCGTGTCTTCACCTCCCAGCCCCTTTAGTGTGTATCTTTTGTCCCTTTCCCAGCCCATGTGTGGCTCTGTCTCAGCATCCTGTCTCTTACCCCCCCATTCTCCCCCCATTTTCCAGCACTTTGTGTCTGCCACTATACAGCATTATTTAGCCATTGTTACCTTGTACATTTGGCCTCACTTAATAAAGTCTGTATGTCACATTGTAGCCATTTCTGGAAATCTCCTCTATACCTAGATCTAGTCACACTACATTCAGACACTATTTAGAAAGTATTATTGTCTGTAATTTCTTATCTACCAGATAAGGTCTCTATATTTGGATAGAGTTTTCTCCAGTATATTTTTTTCCAATTCTATATTTAGGTTCATACCCTGTGTAGACTGTTACTACCTACACTGACACGGCCCCACTGAGTGCAGTGCTCCTCTTTTTTTTGAAGGGCCATCTCTCCTGTTTTGTATAATCCATTAAAAAACACGCAAAAAAAAAAGTTCTGCATTATTTGTATACATTCTTCTCCTTAATTTTAATCTAATATACACTTAGAAAAAAAACATTAAAAAAAAAACCAAACAGATATTGTACATGTCCTTACAGCTTCAATTCCATTAGGATGGCTTTCTAGAAAAACAAACATTTTAGTTAAACAGAGCAGGGGAAGAATCTCCTCACCCCTACACCCCCTATACCCCCACCAAACCATTCACAGATAATTAAATAACGTAGGGAATATGATATTCAAGGACCAGTTCCAAACTGTTCACTGGCAAGAACTCACTCTGGAAGCAATGTATGAAAGAAGTTAAATCATGACACAAACTGCATTAAATATGAAACTCTTGTAGATTATATTGTACACTTGTAACTAGAGGGCAAACCATAGTCAAGTTTCAATAAAAAATAAAAATAAAAAAATTCACTAATACAAAATATTTGATGCTTTTATAAAATTAAAAATTAAATAAAAAAAAAAAAACAGATTCATGGGAGACTGATTTTAACTTAACCCCTTCAGGACGGAGTCAATAGTGCACATTCTGATCAAAACAAAACGTAAACAAAAACTGGAATTTGCGCTATGTCTATTCAACCGTAATTCACCGCTGTCACATTAAGTGCACCCACACTTATTATATATTGTTTGTTCAGGAGAAACAGGGCTTTAATTTATCATTAACTATTCATATATGTAACATAATTTATTATGAATAAAAATTTTAAAAATGTGAGAAAATAAGATTTTTTTTTTAAATTTGTAACAGTAAAACATATTACAAGAATAATATAGTCCATAAAAGTGCTGTACGTTTGTAAAAAATGCAAAAAACTTCACTTTTACTTAAAATATCATCGTTGTAAGACAATTTACCAGTTTGAAACACTAATATTTGAGTTCAGCGAAGTCTCCTGAGTAAAACAGTACCCCCTATGTAAAGGTTTTATGGTGTCTTGGAGAGTTCCAGGGTCAAATATAGTGCTTGCGAATTAAATTCTCTGCACTTTCTCCCTGTGTTGTCAGGCATGTCAATCAAATTTTAATTAATCAAATCACATAATGTTAAAAGATTACTTAAACATACACGTAGAATTTTAATATATATATATGCATTTAGAGGTATTTAAATTCTACGTGTATACTAATGTAAAAAAAAATTATATATATATATATATATATATATATATATACACATATATACATATATATATATATATATACACATACACATATATATATACATACACATATATATACATATACATACATATACATACACATATATTACACACACACACACACTAGAGATGTCGTGAACCGTTCGCGAACGGCTCGCCACGAGCTCCGGTCAGCTGACACATCCCGGCCAATCTCCTTCTGCTGTCCGGGAGGTGGGAGGGAGGGTCTGCTGGAGATTGGCCGGGATGTGTCAGCTGACCGGAGCTCGCCACGAACGGTTCGCGGCATCACTAACACACACACATATATATTAACAAAATACAGTTAGAATAAACAATTTATATTTTCTATTTTAATTGTACACGTCTATTTTTTTTTTTTTTTTTTTACAGCTCCCACCAGCAGGGGGACTGTCTGACATTTTATACAGTCCCCCTGCTGGCAGATCCACAGCCAGCTATAGAGGGCCATGTGATCGCTCTTAGAGAGCGATCACATGGCCCCCGGGGGCTTCTTTTGCCGGGGGAGGGCTGCCTGGGCTGTCAGGCAATCCTTCCGAAAAGAATCGCGGTGGAGGTAAGTATCCCGGGAGCTCTGGGGGCTGCAGCCGTTACGGCGTTCTATGCCGCCGCAACGGCTTTAAAGCCCATTTAAATGGGGATGGCATAGAACGCCGTAACGGCGTTAAGAGGTTAATAATAATATTTGCCTTCACACAGAATGTGGAATGTTCAGTTACAGAAAAGGTTACATCTTATTTCATCAGCTTGAAAGCACTGAAGCACAAAATAGTTCCAACACAGCTACGGACAGATCAAGAAGGAAGAGGAAAACTATGTAAAAATGCAGAAGTAGTGTTTACTAAGCATTGAGTATTACTAGTAAAAAGTTTGGAAGAAAATGAGAGATCTACAAACATACCACATACACACATATTAGATATATATATATATATATCTATATATATATATATATATATATATATATATATATCTCAAGAGAAATACCGGCACTCAAGGATTTTCATCACATAAAGTCTTCATTTATTGCGACTCTTTCTTCGCAATAAATGAAGACTTTATGTGATGAAAATCCTTGAGTGCCGGTATTTCTCTTGTTATATATTATTCAGCTACCAGAGCACCAGGTATTTTTAATTATTTTGTTATGGTTGGAGTGCAGGGGCTAACTAGATTATATAGATATAATATATATATATATATATCTATATCTATCTATCTATCTATCTATCTATATATATATATATATATATATATATATATATCTATATATCTATCTCTGTAAGCATATAGCTAATTATCAAATTATTTACAAAATATTAGTTAGCAAATTCTAACTTGTTTCAGATCAAAACCCATGCTTTGGATATAAACAAAAAAACAAACAAAAAATTTGATGTTTAAGACAGCATTCCATTGCCAGTTGTAACGAGCAATACCACGCCTATCTAAGTAGGGTGATATATGAAACAGAATGCCTATTTGAGTCCATTTGTATGTCAAGATAGGAAGCCATTCTGGACTATTAATAAAATAATATTGCAGAGCGTCAGAACATCAGGATCACAGAGGATAATTAAAACCTCAAACATCAAACACGAAACAGAATTGAGATGTTGACCACTTTTATAAAAGTTAATTCCCCACTCTTACTTAAGACAATGCAGTGGTCCAGGAGATACTCTTGCCACCCTGTTAACGCTGGCACCATTCATAGTATTCAGCTGAACTTCAGAAATGTAAAGGGTCACGGATGACGACTGCAACCTTGTCTTCACAACTTCCAATGGGCATGTCAATATGGCGCCAACAGTGCCCCCACATCTGCAAACAAAAATACAACACAAGAAAAGATTTGACTTTGGTAAATAATCAGAAAAAAAAAAAAAATATGCGAAACAATTGAAAAGAGTTAACCAACATTTTTCATATGCATATATGTGATGCATTACAAATAAAAAATAAAGTAAAACTGGTATACTCTGAATGTTCCTCTCTTGTTGCATATCAATTCATCTCTGAAGCAGAGACTATCAAACAATAAGGTTTGCCAACAATTCTAGATTTATGCAGTTTCAAATTCTATTTCTACTGGGATACTGACAAAACCTGTAACACTGATGTGCTCTAAACACTAGGTTGGGAACTACTGCTGAAGAAGCAAGTTTTGTTGCAGAGGCTAGAATAGGAGATCACTCAACCAATCCAGTTCCTTTCACTGTTTTGAATGGAACGATGTACTTATCCACTTTGTAATGCAGCTTCCATAAAAAAAACAAAAACACAAACACACACACTGTTTTCCAACTTGCCAAGCAGTATCATTCATGTATTTCAGAATTAAAGAAGTCGCTTAAGAGTCCATGCAGACAGTACTTTGTATAGGTCAGTGGTAAACTAAGTTTTTCCATTGAGGTCACATAATAGGGGGGGTGACCTTATAGCTGCTGTAGTATTAACAAACAGCTGCAGAAATCGGTTGATGAGAGACATAAATAGGGAGTACAAGTATTACTGATAATTCAAAACACAATTATTAATATAGCGCCAACATATTCTGCAATTGTGTACAATATGTAAAAGAAAGAAAGCAATTATAACAAAACAGGTTTGCTATAAAGGAATACAAAACAGAAGGAAAAAGGGTGTACTTCAGCATCTCACATGCTCCCCCCCTCCCCCCAGCTACTATACGTGAGCATGTGCTCGCACTACAGACCCTAGTTACCCATAGTACACCATAAACAGACTCCTATGTACACACACACTTCACCACAGCCACTTCTAAACAACATGGAAAATTATCTTGCATCTCCTTAACAGCTCCTTATTCTCCAACTGGGCACCTCCATATTTGTTACAAGCACTGTCCTTCGCACTTGACAGTAGGCATAGGAAAAACATACATAAAAGAGGAGAAGTAAAAACAAGTTTCTATTTTCCTCTTCATTTACAGTGTTTGCAATATCTTTGTGATATCACTTGCTAAATCTTTTTAACTTTAAACAAAATATAAAGCAACATAAGTTATAGGTAATCTTCAATGCTTTATTCAATAGTGCAATTTGCAAGGAAGTGACATTTGCGCTTTAAAATCTATTTTGTAGAAATATGACTATTTTTAAATACTAAATTGTTTGACACTGTAGATACCCAGATCACTTCGGCTAATTGAAGCAGTCTGTGTGCAATGTAAAACATTGCAGTTCCAGAGAAACTGCAATGTTTACATTGCAGCACTAAGTCTTCCCACAGTGGCGGTCTACCAGACTAGAGGGCTTCTTGAATCATAACAGACCTTTAATGATGCTAGACTTCCTCGCTCTGCATGAGGACATCCAGCAGATAGGAAAGCATTGATTCAATGCTTTCCGATGGGGAGGTTTAGATCGCGCAAGCAGCATTTGACCCGCATGTGCATTAGCGCCCGCTCATCACAGGCCTTTGGAGGGAGCGGAGCCAGGATCCAGCGCCGAGGAACATCGTCGCTGGGAAGAGATGAATAAAGGGTCTTTAACCCTTTACTCACCGGGGAGGGGCAAGTCAGAGAACTATAGTGCCAGGAATACAGCTTTCTATTCCTGGCACTATAGTGTCCCTTTAACATCAGTAGTATTTAATCTCACGCTGAAAGAGGCTTTTAATTTTTTATTTAATTTTTTTTTATATAAAAGATGTTTATTTCCTCAGCATTATGATTTTTTCCAGAGCTGGCAGGTAGCGGTTTCTGGATACATCACATTTTCAAAATATGTTTAAACCGATGGATATAATTAGGCATCAGTTTCAAATCGAAACAAGGGTGTGGCCTGACTTGTACTTTGACAAGATACATGGAAACAGAGTTTTGCTGCAAAGTCACAATTACATGGATAAACTGCAAGCATCCAACTGGAAATTAGAACGGAGGTCTAGTGAGAATGGATGAACAGGACCTTGCTTACACTGCAGTATCAACTGACTTCCTGGCTCTACATCAAACCCTTCAGTGCTCTCTTAGCTTTTATTTTCCTTTATTTCTCAGTACTCTCGAACGCCTATACCATCTTTCTTGGAACCACATAGGATAGCATTGACTTTATTAGAGAATTTCTTTATGTATATTATTATATGGCTAATATGCTCATCTAGGCTTTAGTCATACACAGTTGCTGATAAATGTGAAATTATTGTCAGACTATGTGCATGCTCACAATGCATTTTTCTTTTTCTGCAATCTACCTTTTCAATAAGAGATTTATCATAAAGAGGAATACCTTGTAATTTGAACAATCACTTTTACTGAGCCAGTGAAGTTATGAAAGGAAAAAAAAAACAAAAAAAAAAAACAAAAAACACCTTGGGGGTATATACACAACAAAATGTCACCGACACTTTTCAGTCTAAATTTCCATGTTTTTTTAAAAATAATTTTTGGTGCAATTTTTTTTAATCTGTTGGATTTTTCTCATCTGTTGCTTTTTCGTACCCTAAATGTAATTATTTTATATGCGCCAATAAATTTATGAATATTCATGCCACATTTCCCAACAAATGTGGTGGTCTTTTAAAATTAAAATTTCTGCAAAAACCGACAGAACTTACGATTAAGAAGACAGTCACTTTTTCATCAATTTAATAAATACAATCAAAATAATGAAGGAATTCATCTGCCAATTTTCAGTAGCACTTTGATAAGTATTTCATTGACTCAACATAATTTAGATCATTTGGAGTAGCTTTTCTTTATAATATGCAAAACCTGCAAGTCTACTTCCTTGTAAAAAAATCTTTGCTTTGCACTTGCTCAGAGCCACAAAAAATTTGTCTTGCATCATATGATTATGCAGGTCTACATAATCTTGCTTTTTCAATTGCTCCACTCAATATCTGTCACGGTCTAATCATGATACTTGCAAACTGGTCTAAAAGAAGCAATATTAATTAACCAATATGAGGATATTCCTTAAGAGCTCTAATGGCTTCAAGTAGTTTTCTTATTGTTCCTGTGTGTCCAACTTGTCTGGTTACAATTACGTGTCTGTTCGTAACGCTAAGGAATTTGCTGGCGCTTTATAAATAATTTTGTGTGAAGTGGAGGAGCAGGTCTGTTATGGGGCTTATGTTCTACTGAACACTCACAAAAATAAATCAAATAAAAAATCCAACCATTTCAAGGCAAAAATAAATAAATAAAAAATAAATATATGCAGGTCTGTGGAGGTAGTTCACAACCCAATCCTTACACATCATTAGTCCAAATTTAGTGGGAAAAGCCTGTAAGACAACATACCTGCATACAACTATGCCATACTGAAAAAGTCAATTGCTTGAGCTAAAAAAAATAAAATAAAAAAAGTAAATCCTGTTTTGATTAAACACATGATGAGGGAATAAATGTTTTTGAAAAAAAAAAACCCCAAAAAACGAACCTCAAACTCTACTTAAAATACATTTCTCATGAGGGGCGTGGCTGTGCACCTAACAAGTGTTTATGTGGTGCTCCAGCCGAATACTCCAAAAACACACAAAATTTACACAAAAGTCCAGCAATCTAACGGATCAACTGGGTGATTAGTGACCTGAACCACCCAAAAGAGAGATGGGGCACAAACATTGAAAATGTATGAATTCAGAAAATGCCTGACATTAGGTGGGTATTAGACAGGCTGCAGCAGCTAACGCAGCCTAAGATGGTGCCAGGGAGGCCATGAGGTTCCAGTGAATCCATGGTATCTCTGGAAGAAGGACCCACGACATTGCAGGTCCTCAGCGGGGCGTACAGGAGGGATTATTCAGACATCTCACCCTCTACCAAATATTAGAAAACTCTTGCTCGATCTCGGCGAGGTCTGGAAGAAGGCCTTGGATGGAGAACGCACCAAGATGAGGTGCCTCAACCCGCGCATCGCAGCACTGGAGACCCTAAGGTTGAAAGAGAATGCATACTCACAGAAACCAGAGCCCAAGTAGAAAATCTATCAAAGCAGTCCAAGCACCTTACCTGCACTGTTACATCAATGGAAGCGCAGCATGGTAAGAAGAATGTACGCATATGTGGGGTGCCAGAAAGGCCATTTTGGCATTCACAAACAAAATGGCTGCAGAGATGGAGGTGAAGAGTCTTCCCATCTGCCCTTGCAGATGCTCCCAGGGACATCATTGCCGTCACTCGGGACATTGTGATGAAAGCAGCGATTCTGGCCCGCTCAAGAACACACCCACCACCACTATGGATAATTGTCAAGTAAGAGCCCACAACAACTTGCCATTCTCTGTCTTGCTGGAGAGATGGAGATTTATTCCTGTCTCTAAGCTGCTCAGAGACCATGGAATTAAGTACCAGTGGGGAGTATCAGGAACCCTGGTGTTGCCAAGCAGAGATACTTATCACTGTCTGAGGCAGAAGACTTGGCGGACTTTCTAAAAAGGCTACAGCTGCCACAACAGATACCCGCTACACTGGGAGCAGGCCAGGCTCCAACTTCTGAGAAGCACACTTGAGAGGGAGAAAAACCCAGGAGCTGAGTTGGCGGTGCTAAACCCACGACTACAGAACCCCCCATGAGTCTGACAGCCAAGATGAGTGATGTTACCAGGTAGGACTCAACAAGGCCCACCCAAGGCATAAGCCTATATATTTTGCAAAAGACTGTTCTTTTAAATTTTTATTTTTCAGTAAATTTTTTCCCCCCTTTGTTTCCTTTTTTTTTTTTTTTTAAATAAATTTTTCATTACGTGGACATAAAATACAAAACAGGTAGTTTAGACATAGTTATACATAATATACAAAAATGAAAATTTTATATTCATGGTTGTTGTCGTATCCAACATAAAACAGTATTTACATAGTTTATTATACGTCACAATTGTCTTGTTCACTCCAGAAAGAGTACTCCTTTTATCAACTGGTAGTAGAGCATATTTGATCTGAATCTACGTATTTAGGGGTATATAATAGTGAAAAAAATAAAATAAAACTTGTTTAAAATTCTGAGATGCACAAAATACCCATTTCCTTTAGCCTATATTATCCTACTTACTGTATATACTTGAGTATAAGCCGTCCCGAATATAAGCCGAGGCCCCTAATTTTACCACAAAAAAACTGGGAAAACTTGACTCGAGTATAAGCCTAGGGTGGGAAATGCAGCAGCTACTGGTAAATTTCTAAATAAAATTAGATCCCAATAAAATTACATTAATTTAATATTTACAGTGTGTGTATAGAATGAATGCAGAGTGTGTGTTTGTGTGTTGATATAATGAATGCAGTGTGTGTTTGTGTGTTGATATAATGAATGCAGTGTGTGTTTGTGTGTTGATATAATGAATGCAGTGTGTGTTTGTGTGTTGATATAATGAATGCAGTGTGTGTGTTTGTGTGTTGATATAATGAATGCAGTGTGTGTGTTTGTGTGTTGATATAATGAATGCAGTGTGTATATAATGCAGTGTGTGTAAACTGGGTGAGGGGAGGGCATTTTTATTTTAATAATATTATTTTAATATTTGCATTATTTAAAAAAAAAAAAAAAAATTTTTGTCCTCCCTCCCTGTTTGTTGTCTGGTCAGGGAGGGGGGACAAAAAATTTTTTTAACAAAAATAATGCAAATATTAAAATAATAATATAATAAAATATTATTAAAATATTATTAAAATAATATAATAATATTATTAAAATATTATATTTTAATAATATTATTTTAATATTTGCATTATTTAAAAAAAAAAAATTAAAAAAAAATAAAAAAAAAATTGTCCCCCCTCCCTGACCAGGCAACAAGCAGGGAGGGGGGACAAAAAAAAACATTTAAAAAAAATAATGCAAATATTAAAATAATATATTAAAATTAAAAAAATTTTTTTAATATTATATTATTATTTTAATATTTGCATTATTCTTTTCTAAATGTTTTTTGTCCCCCCTCCCTGCTTGTTGCCTGGTCAGGGAGGCGGAAAAAAAAATAAAAAATAAAAAAATAAAAAATAAGGCAAATATTAAAACAACAATATATTATATTATCTTAATAATATTAAATCCCTGGTGGTCCAGTGGCATTGGCAGTTCAGTGAGGGGGCTGACAGTGAGCTGTTACTTACCTTTCCTGCTGCTCCTGCCAGCTCCCTTCTCCTCCGTGCAGCTCCTCTGTCAGCCCAGTTCTGCTCACAGTGTAAGTCTCGTGAGACCCGCGGCTCTCGCGAGACTTACACTGGGAGCAGAACAGAGCTGACAGAGGAGCAGGGAGCTGACAGGAGCTGCAGGAAGGTAAGTAACAGCTCGCTGTCAGCCACCAACAGGACCGCCGGGCTTGTAATAAGCCCGGCGGTCCTGGTCTGTATTGTGGCAATGTAAGTTGCCACAATACAGACTGACTCGAGTATAAGCAGAGTTGGGGTTTTTCCAGCACAAAAAATGTGCCGAAAAACTCTGCTTATACTCGAGTATATACGGTAATTTCTTACTATTTCAATTTAATCTTTTTCTCACTAATTTTCACAATTAAAAAAAGACATTGCAGAATTAGCATCTTGTTGTTATACTGAAATTATCCAAGTCTATATGTAATATTTCCCTCTCAATTGTAGGATAGGGAGTAGTATTAATAAGGTTACAAGTGCAGCATAATTTTTTTGTATATAAAGCTTATTTTTTTTTATTATATACCTCTTTGTCTTTTTATTCTCTCTCCTTTAATCTTTTTTAACCCATTTTGTACATCTTTGATCATTTTTATTTCTTATATTGAAATGTCTGTTTATACCTTGCTCCATTTGGCATTGATTTATAATTAGATTTTTTTTTTTTAATTTCTAATCAAATTTGGTGGATTTACAGGTTTCCAATGTTTTGCTATAATCAATTTTGTGGCTAGCAGTATGTGGATTATAACATTTCTTATCTTTATCTATATTTTGCCAGCCTAAATAGAGAAGTGCTGCGGGAGGAGAGAATGGTAATTTGACTACAGTCCATTATTCTTCATTTAAAAATGTCAGCTCTTGTAGCTTCTCATCTCCAGCATGTTGGTTGATAATTTGGGAACAGATCGTTTTAATGGGTCATAGTACCGTTTATTAATTTGTATTTACTTCTATTGGCTCTTTCAGTTGCTATTATTAGCAGTTACTGCCAATTCTACACAAGTTGCCAGTGTTTTAAGTGGACTTCTAGGCAAGTGTGCATTTGGGGAAGGGAAAGATAGAGCAGAGTGTGATGGAGCTCCCTGTACCCCAGCTGGGTATCTCCACCAAGCTCGCTTCCTAGCTGGAACTGCGAAACCTTGAACGCTTCTGCCCCAGCCTGACCAGGCTGCAGCTCTCCTTACAGGCAGGTATCTTCCCCTCTGCCTATTCCTCTGCAGCTCTGCTTACAGTGATTGCCAATGCATTTACAAAGGCACTTGCATCTCTCAGGCCTAGCTCTCTTGATTTATCCCAGGGCTAAAGGGATCAGGCAGCCAGCCAACAGGTCTGAAGACTGTCACTGGGATCCATAAAAATCAACACGACACTCAGTTCCAAACAGAACCAACATGCAATACTTTCTTTCTAGCCCATATGCTCATTACACTTCGATTGCTGTGACAATTTCAATAAAGTACAAATATTCAAAACATAGCAGACAGCAAGTTATAAAATAATTCCATATTTATAAAGTGGTATGAAATATGCAAATCTACCCGAATTTGCTAATTAACAAGCCTTTCTATGCATGTAGTGCATTTAGCTGTTGCTACCAACAGATGGTAGCTATAAATGCTCCATTGCCAAATCCACCTAGTTGGTAACAAGCATCAGCAGGACAGAAGAGCAGACAAACAATAAATACAGAATAGACACCCTGCACCTATAATTGGCACAGGGTGACAGACATAGGAGTAGTCCAGGGTTTTACATAAAATGTTCATCTGAAACTCCTGGTGATGTTGACTACCATCACACTGATAATGTTTGGGAGGCATTGTTCACTGAGAATGTATGGTATGCCACAACTTGAAATATGGAGACCGGACCCCTGCTACGGTTTACGGATTACCTACGATATTGGGATGCTCTTTCTTGAATACCAAACATATGGGGGAGACTCGTAGTGTATGGCCATTAGCTATATACTTAGACGTACTGGGCAAACATATATGAAGTAACAGTATAAGGGTGAAAAGTGATGGAATGAATGCGTGCCGCGAAAAGCAAATGGAGAGGTGGATTACTTTATGCACTGTTGGGGTGTGAAGACCGCTTGAATGCACTGGAGAGTGACACTTTATACAGGATCTAAGAGAAGTGTATGTTGATGAATGGTGACTTTGTGTAGGTGGCTTGAGTGATGGGGCGAATGTGAATATACAGTGTGAATGAGAGAGTAGGAAGATTGAATATTTACCCACAGGGTTCTTAACTGCAATGTTTCAGTTATGCTTAATGTCAAATATAGTTCTCAAATATATACTCTGAACTCGTCACCCAGCATTCCCAAGTAAGAAGTGAAACCATGCCAGAACACTTCTTGCACCATAACCACTACACTATAGGATTTGGTCAGCTGCCAGGTGCCTACTGCAGGGCATCAACTGATGGTTCTTTTAGATTTTTGCTGTAAGAGCCTTTACAGGTCTAAAATACATGGTACGTCAGCTGTCACTAAGAAGTTAATTAAACTTTCAAATAATTGTAGCAGCTCTACATTTTAATCAACATAAGATTCACATTGCCTGTGTTGCAGTGTGCACTGGCTGATATCTAACTATTTTTTTATCCCAATAAAAATATACATAAAACACAAGATTGTTGTTTCTTACTTTCTCCTCTTTCATGTGATTGGATATACCAAGAGGAGTAAAATAAATTCTCACAAAGCTCTATTTTCTCCAGTCACACTAAAACAAGGTGACTATTGTACAAGCCCAAGTTGCTCCAAAATATCTACTGGATCTTTTATAAAGCAGGCATTTAGGTTTTGTACATTTCTTGTAATAAGCACACTACAAAAAATAAAAATAAATGCCTGTTTATATCCGAGTTCTGCAGCACATTGCAAAAGGAAGATAAAGTTTAAAAAAAATAAAAAAATAAATAAATACAAAATGAGATGTGATTCTCTGTAATGTTAACCTGGTACTTGTATGAGAAAGAAAAGCGTAGAGCAGTACAGAAAGACCTAGCAAGTTTACATAAGAAAAAAAAAAAAGGGTCATGTTTTGAACATAATATGCCAATTAATTCTAGTTCCACTGGAACCCAATCCCTAACAGACTAATCCTTTCACTCACTCGAGGTGTATATGGCTAAAGGAGCTTGTCACATACTAAATTTAGGTAGCTTTTCTATGCTTTTATGTTATTTATTTTAAACATATTCTTCATGTAAAAGAAAGAAAAAAAAATGCACTTTCATAGCTTGATGAAAGGATTATTATACAAAAAAAAAACAAAAAAAAAAAATCACACACACACATATATATACATACGGCTCTCTAATTAGTTGTCCGCCTAAAGCATCACGGCCACCTAAATCACCTTAGGGCAGACTGTCGGGTCCTCTGTCAGTGACCGAGGACCCGACACCAGGAGGGGGCCCAGCTGCTTGCTCAGTATGCTGCCAGGTGCGAGGTCCCTCCTGGCTCGGACTGAGAGTGCCCATCGCAGACACCAGTCTGCAGCGCCGCAGTGTGTAGAGCTGCAAGACCATGTGTCTCGCGAGAACGGGCCAATCAGAGCATTGCCGCGGGTTACCATAGTAAGGCTCTGACGGGTCTCGCGAGACTTGGTGTGCGGAGCTGCAGACCGAATATCACCACCGGACCACCAGGAAATAAAAATATATATATTATATATATATATATATATATATATATATATATATATATATATATATATATATATATATATATATATATATATATATATATATATATATATATATATATATATATATACCCCCAAAAACCCCACCCCTCACACACAAGCCTCCCCAGACTGTTAGCATCCCCTCACACTGTCAGCCTCTTCATGCATCCACACTCACATTATCCACTACTAATTCTGTTAATCTCACTCCCTCCAAACTCACCTGCCCTCACTCTGCAACACCCCGTCACATTAACCCCCCCCTTAATCCGGTCACACAAATTCCTCCTACCATGCCACAATTGACCTGACACATTTACCTCCACTCGCCCTGTCACACTCCCTCATCAAACCATGTCATACTCCCTTTCTCTCACAATCCCCCCCACCCCCTTGTCCATTTATCCCCTGGGCCCTGTCATGCTCTCCCTGCCACCGGTACCCCTTTACTCGCCTTGTCACAGTCACCAGCTGAAGACATTCATCACACACACACAGAGTCAGGAAACATAGCTTTGCCATAAACCCAATGCACAAAGGCCATAGGCAGACCTCCATACACACAACACACTTCAAGCAGCTACCCCATACACATACGGTCCAGGACAAAAACGCAAACATGCTCACAGAGACATACATTCACACAAGGATACTCTCAGGCGCGCTCACACACACGTAGCAAGTGCATCAATGTGTATATGTGTTCATGTATTGCAACTCTTTTTTTTTTTTTTTTTAAACTTTGATGTTAGTGGGGCCTCATGTTTGAGTTTCGCCTAAGGCCTCAAAGTCTAGAGCCACCTCTGTATACATACATAAATATAGTTTTGAGGTGACAGTTGTCTTTTGGCCTGGCACACGGATACTGGATTCACTGCAGAATGTGTACATCATAAAGGACTGACACCTGTTACCGTATTTCTTCTAGCAAAGCACACAATGCTTTCATCAGAGGATGAAATAAAAGAAACTATAGTTCACTAAGTGTAGTAAGGTTTTCATGCTCTGCCTATATATATTCGTTCTAAGCATTAATGTCAATGTTATTAGCATACACCCCTATGCTGAGAACAAATTGTCAGGTGAGAAGATGGATGAGATTTATTTGGGCAACATTTCTCAATGTGGCCTAAAACCACTGGCAATGTTGCGAATGAATGTCCATTTTCCTCAACTAGCCACATTATTTTAGCGCAAGTAGCATGAAATATTTCTCAGCCTGCAAGAACTCTCACTCTGTTTACTACATAACATTTGTTTGTTGGGAAAAAAAAAAAACTATAAAATTTTCCAAACAAATACATTTATTTACTTACTGAACAGTTTAAATTACCAGATAAAAAGGAGCAGTCTATGGATTTGGAGCAAAAAGGTTTTACTTATTCTCAGTTTTACAGTAAAGAAAATACGTAGTTTAATGTAAACCTGTCATGCCCCACAAATTATGTTCATTAGACTAAGCACGATCTATACATTGTGCTAGCAGGTTTGCTAGCAAATGTATAGATTAGGAGCAAAACCGGTTTAAAAACAGGTGTTTCAACCAGCTGTCAGTCACTGCCTGGGGGTGCCACAGCATTGACCGACAAGGGAGAGCAGAAAAGACCTCAAGACGTCTGATCACCACCTATATCAACCACAGTGCATGTGCTATGGTTGCTATGGAAACACCCTAGCCAATGCGTCTAGCAGTGGTCAGGACGTATAGGAACAAAGCTACCGTGTAGACATCACTGACAAGACTTGCTCTGCTTGGGTATTCGTCCCAAGCAGAGAAAATCAAAGACTCAAGGAGTGCAAGCGGAAAGGAGGAGGGCCAGGAGGTGTGTTGCACAAAGAGATTACACCCACAAAGTGGCACTGGAATGGAGTAAAAGTAAAGCTTTGTATTATACACTGAATACACCATATATCTTTGTGACATATAGTGCATTCAATGTACATGGCATAGATTAAGTTAGTTATTTTTTTCATAACAGGTTCACTTTAAAGCACATTTATTTTCAGTATTTAACATGACATTATCAAACGATTATAGGAGGATGGGTAGAAACATAAATTAGATCATCAAATGCACCAGTCTTTCAAATGAGAGAATTTAAAAAAAAAAAAAAAAAAAAAGAATTCAATAGCCTTTATATAATTTGCTATGTACTACACGTAGCCCTGGCACTTTGCTCTCAATACTTGGCAGTAACATAATAGAAGAGTCTGTCCAATTAAGCCCTTGGTGCCCAAATGATTGTAATAGGCACCATGTCCTGAGCAACAGTCTCAGATTTATCAACGCTGAAAAGGAGCGTATAAAACAAATTTGTATAAAAAGAAGCACACGACCCAATTACTTGACAGACACTCTTTTGTGTGGCAAATGTTTAACTGCTGCGCAAACAAGTAACCAAAATAAAGAAACCAAAAAGTTAATTAAAATGGAACTGCCAGGTTTGGCATCCTTGAACCAACACGAAATAGATAACATTTGTGATTTTTGTAAATTGAGATTCTTTAAAACCCTTCCACGAGAGGGATTTAAAGAATACAATATTAAAACTAATAGTACAGGCCTAAAATTTACAGTGTAAGCAACACAGATACTTCAGCTTACTGAAGTGGTTATTATGCATGGATACGGTCCATCTAATCATTGTATAATTAGTTTAAGAAATATATGCATTTTATTGCTAACCAAGCCCCCCACACACAACTGGTCGTTTATCAGACAGCCACCCTACCATCTTCTTCCCAACAAATACATTTTTGATAGAATGGTTTTGCAAAATGTAGACAAAATAGGTTTCATAATAGTGGAGGTTTTTTTTCTCCCCGTCTCAGCTATATTTGTCTATATTTTGTAATTCGGTTTCCAGTGTACGTGAGTGGGTGCTAGGGTTAGTGTTTGAGTACATTTTTAGGTAGGGAATAACGTTTAAGTGATAGTGTGGTGGAACAGACCTCGCCACGTGTTCTTGGAAGGGGCTGCTTGCCTGCCTCCTACCTTCTGACTATGGCCCTGGGATATGTGGCATTTGAAAACACTATTTGTGCCCTGTGACAAAACTGGAGATTGTGCACAAATATGACTATTGTCCACATTTTTTAGGATTCCCTTCGTTTGTTGCACTGTGCCCCATGTGTTTCATCTGTTGGTTCGGCTGGATAGACTACCAGACAAACTGTGGAGTTACTGGGTGGCCACCACTTCATGTATCAGAGGCACATGGTGAGAACAATGGATGAAGCACATGGTGAGAACAATGGATGGCGGCCATTTTAACTCACAGACAATGTTTTGACTTTTCTACACGGTGCCATCTCGCCGGTATTTGGTGCACAAAGACATCGTTCAGTAGTTTTAAACTACAGAACAGGGGAAACATTTAACCGTAATTATTTTTCATATAGCCTGTATATGTTCTGCGGAATCTGCATTAAACCGTATCTTCTAAACTACTGAACGGATCTGGGTGAATTTTGGATATGTGGTTCACCCAGATCCCCCGGTTTTTATGGGGTTATTGCATGATTTGGGGTCCCAGTGATATGTTTTATAATACTGTATTTTCCTGCCTGTGATAATTATGTTAGTCTATTGTGTTGAGATAATTGTATTACAGGCAGAGGGGAGGATTTCTGATGTAATGAATGGGAGTGTGTAATGTGTTGATTGGTTGTTCTTCAAAACCCTGTGGGCAGTACTATGTTTGTTGAATGTGAATAAAAGAGGCCGTATGTGCCAGTACAGAGAATTCTTTTTTCACCCTTCAAAGCGTAGCCTCGTCATTGGAGGGAACTGCTATAATCACACTGGGGATTGCTCTGCATACTCCCTTGAGTTTTAATCACTTAGCTCTTTTAAGAGCTTGTTCCTGATACACTCTTTGGGAGGAGAGGTCTTCCCCACACGGTCCTGGAGGACAGAAGCCGATCCAGGGTGGACAGAAGACGGCGAGACTCCAGTTAAGCTACGGCGGTTGTGGAGTCCAGTGCGGTGCTTGTGGTCCTCGGCGCAGGCTAGGAAGCGTCCATCAACGGAAGGTACTCGGTTGGAGTACGGGGAGTTCCGTTACAGATAGTGATGGGGTTAACAGGAGGTTTTACTGTAAGGACAGTGCTGGAACATACAGCAGCTATGTAATTGAAATTGGCAGGTGCCTCAAGAGAATGTATCTCTCACAAATCACAGACAGAGAATAAGCTCCACCTGAGATTAGGGACCCACACTGCATCGAGGTGATCTGTATATTAATTTACTACAGGGGATAACTGCACAGTTTGCCTAGTCTCTGGGTACCATTCCACAGTCTTATGTGAAACTGTATAGGAGTGGTTTTACAAAATAACAGGGCTTTCTGAGCCACCCAGAAGTCTTCTCTTTAGCTACATCAACAAGCATGTATTCCTAAAGCTATAGTGTCCAACAAAATATGAAGATAGCCCCCACATCCCTGTGTTAAGTAGATAAAGCAGTTTAACTTACCTGTACCCCCTCACAGCATTGGTCTCCGCTCTGCAGCCCCACCTCCACGACAGATCATTAACATTGATGATTTTAGCATAACCAATGCTTTCCCATAGGGAAGCAAAATGCCTTGCTGGGCAAATCAAAAGCTTTCTATAAATAGAGAATAGCGTCTGACTGACAGGGTCATTGACTCGATTGGCTGCCAGGAAGACAGCCACTAGAGGTCTCTGTGACCCTGTAATGAAGTCATTGCTGTTTCAACAAAAAACAAAACAAAAATGTTTTACACTGCAGGGTTTCAAAAGGCAGCGTACTGCATCCACACCACTTCACTGAGATGAAGTGGTCTGCTGAGTGCCTTTATTGTCCCTTTAATAACGGTTTACACTATCAGTGTTATTTTAGTCCAACTTAGGCAGCAATTATTGGCTGAAGGTCCTGGGTGTTTGGATCTCTAACCTGGAAGAGCATCACAAATGCATGTAAGAGAAAGAAGTCTGTATACATCTGTGGTTTTTATTCACATGGTGTTAGACGAGTTAATATGCTACTTTGCAACATAGTCATGAAGTATGCAACTTATTTACATATACAATGTAAGTTATAAGAGCTTCAAAACATCATAAACAGATGGATTAAAAAAATAGAGAAATATTCTTAATAAAATGTGACCTTTATTTTGTTCTCGTGGGTAATTTCTTACACTTTTCATATCTGCAGGTCTTAGAATGAAAGAACAGAGTATGACAATAGTTATGTAGCAAACAAATGTATATATGGTCTGTTTAAGCTCACATTCATTGAGTTTTGAATAAGGTTTGAAGGGCTAAAATTATTTCAAACGTGCAAATGTAAAAAAATAAAATAAAAAAAAATTTAATCAAAGAAACACACACACACACACACACACACACACACACACACACACACACACACCCCAAGTAGATTTAAAGCAACCACCCACTCTAAATTGTAGGCATGTTTGAGCATTGTCCTCATATACCTCTTGTACCTGTAACATTTTATAATGGTCTCATTTATTGTTAAATGTCACCCTTTATAACACTGTAAAGCTCTGCAGAATAAATTACAATAATAACCAAACCGGTATGATGTGACATGATGATATCATGTGTCATCAGGCAAGCCTTTAGTAAATTTTGTGATTGCACCTTTGCTTTACCGTCCTGTATTTAAAATTATATTTGTAGAATCCCCCCTCCCCCTCACGGGCAAGGGTATACAATTGGGATCGGTCAGATTTTACACTTTTACCCTCCCCACCCACCCCAAAAAAAAAAACAAAAAAAAAGTTTATAGATTTTTTGCTACAAACTGTAACAGAAAAAGAGAAGCTACATAAAGTTAATAATGTATAAGTCAATTACAGAAAAAAAAAAAAAAAACTTCATAAAACAAAGTGTCTCATTTTGGTAAAACAATGTGACTCATATGTGACCCTGCATTTCACTGACAAGTATCCAAACTAAAAGAAAATCAGTTCAAATTAGCTCTGACATAATCATGCACAATCATCACTAAGGAAAAAATGCACACCTTATCCCCACCTACGCATGCATAACCTTATTTGACCAGAGTGCTGAAGCAGCAATAAATCATCCGATCATGTCCTCATTTTATCAAACATGCATAGAGGACAGGAAGAACACCAGATTTTAACATCAGTTAATGTAGCGTTCCATGAACATGTTCTAAAGCATTACATTACAGCCTAGTGATAACTTCTTGTCTAGTGTGCATCACATCATGTCAGTATCTTCCCTCTCTGCATGCAGACTCTGAACTTTCCTCAGAGATTCATTGATTCAATTCAGCTCTATGAGGAGATGCTGATTGGCCAGGGATGTTTTTGACTTGTGATGGTTCTATCCCGGATCTGCCTCATTCACAGTCTCAGCCAATCCTACGGGGAAGCATTGTGATTGGCTCAGAACAACACTTCTGATAGGGTCAGCAGACAGCTTGCTATTCTGAGGCAGAAATGGGCAGAGCCAACAGCTTCAGGCTTGAATACAAGTACAATATTACTATATTTAGGGAGGCATGGGGAGCCCAGTGGTTCTAGATGGTGGTTTTAACATTATAGGGTCAGTAATATAGGTTTGTGTTCCTGACCCTATAGTGCTCCTTTAAATGTATTTGTTCTGGTGAGTATAATCAGTCCCTTCAGGCTTTTTGCAGTAAACACAGTCTTTTTAAATAAGGAAAACTTCTTACACACCTACCAAGCAGGGAGTAATGATTGAGGTTTAGAAGATAAAAAAAAAAAAAAAAAATCTGTTACTTAAACATTTACTTCACGATACATGAACTCCTTTGTTCAGCCCACCCCTTTTTCTGAACTTCAGCTATAAATATGCACCATATTAAATCACAAAAATAAATAAATAAAAAGGCAGGAAAGAGAAAAACAGACACCAAGGTGATTTCAAAGTGATCTAGTTAGTTTTTAAAAAGAATTACAGGTATGCTACTTGTAGTGCAACATTATGTCAAGAGTCCCCAAACAAACATATGTCCTTGAGTTCATGTATGGAAGTAGAATTGAGAAAAAAAAAAAAAAAAAAACCCAACCACTTTGTACTGATTATCCAGCTCTAGGTTGTGCTGTATAAAAGTTGCACTCACAGGAAATTCCTTGGTAGAATATATGCCATGGAACTAGTTTCTATTCATTGCTTGCAGTATGACCTTTAGCCTATATAACAGACAAGCAGCTAACAAACTGTAACAGTATGAACAAAGTCTTCACATCCAAAACACTGTAATACAATGGAAGCTGACAGTACACATGCGCTACCTGCCTTAGGCTTTTTGCAAGTACTTTTAATAGCTATATTTACATAAAAGAAAATGGGGGTGGGAAGGGGGGGGGGAACTCATTGATCACGTTAACCCATTACTAATGCATACAAAAAAAAAAGCTCATACTGATCAACATAAACAAAACACTCATTTGATGTTTATGTATCTGCTGTAAATCCCCTTCTTTGCATCTTCTACAATGAGTGCTCACGAAAACAGGAACTAATTTAGCTAATTCAGAAACTAAGTATTTAGCAGAGATTTTGCCCAAAGGTAAAGCTTTATGACCAAAGCAAGGGTTTCAGGGTGCGGTAGGTGCTAAGAAAATAAATAACTATACTACAACTCCTCCAAACATCAAATGAAGCAGAGTATTTGAAGCAAAAGAGAATGACAGGAAGCAGAAAGTGACCCAAGGCAACTGCCAAGAGACCAGGGGCTAGACAAAGGACACACCATGAATTGGCTTGGCCCAATTCTTTTTTAGAGCAATTAAGGGGGAGGGCCCAAACTGGTAACCTGCTTAGGAAATAAGGTAAGCAATCTGAGTTATCCTTTTGAGAAAAAAAAAAAAAAAAACTAAAAAGGTGGATTTGTTTTCATATTATGATTTAAACATTTATTTACAGGTAGGCCAGGCGGGGTTAATAAGGTATGACACAATCATTTCAAGTACAGTATATCATAACTGGAGATAAGATAAAATGTCAAGACCTATAGCCATCAAGACAGGACTAAATGGCAGATTAGGTAGGCCACATAACTGACATATTATGACTTCCTAAAAAAGCAGTAGCCTGTTTCCCACCATGCTGTGGACAATTTGCCCAAATAACATAAAAAAAAATAAAATAAAAAAAGTGAAAAAAAAATAAAACAAATGAAAAATGTTTTTTTGCAAATAAACATGCAATAAAATCAAAACTGTGTGTCCAGATTTGCATTATACAATATAACTGACCCGTAAAGCAGGCTCACATTCCTATCTTCCTTCACTGGCAAGCATAGACACGGATTTGTAATCTGAAACAATGTCGCTCGATTAAGCGTTAGGAAAGTACTTGGTAGGACATTGCCCTTCTGCACCTGCCAATATCAACTCATCACTGAATTTAATATGTATCCTTCCTAAAACTTTTGTGCATTAAAATCCCTTGAAAATAATGCTTTATCTTCGATGTAGCCAACTTGGTGCATTATTAAAAACTAAAAATATATTTCAATAAAACTGCAAAGAGTAATGTAAATAAACATTTTTCGCAGCCTTGATCCTCCTGACGTTCTAAATAACAGTATCAGTACTCTGTATCTTGACAGACGTTAGGGCATGTATGTACACATCTCTCATTATGTGCAAAAGTAAATTTCTTTATACAACAACAAATTCTGCAGTGTTGATAGCAACATAAAATTACGAATGTATGTTTATGCACACACTTAACCCCTTAAATCCGGAGGACGTACTATTACGCCCTGCAGGAGCTGGCTCTAAACGCCGGCGGGCGTAATAGTACACCCTCGCTATAATGGCCGACAACGTGGCCGGTGCTAATCGCCCGCTGCAGATCGCGGTCGGGGGGGGATGTCTGGCCCTCCAGTCAACCCCCCCTGTGGCTGGTGTCCGCGATCTGCAGTCACTGCGATCAGTATTTACAGTGTGTCACACACGTGGCCGGCGGCTTTCCCCTGCAGATCGCGGTCAGGGGACATACCTGGCGTCAGTGACCGCGATCTGCACTGTCCGATCGCAGTGACAGGCTGTCATTGCGATCTCAGAGCACTCTGATCGCAGTGACAGCTTGTCACTGCGATCAGTGTTACATGTGTCAGCCTAATGTAACAGGCACAATGATCCCCCTGCAGATTGGTAGGGGGAGTGCTTGTACCACCCAGGCACTCCCCCTGTGGTCAATTACCCAACCTGCAGGAGGTGATCACAGTGACAGGCAGTCACTGTGATCAGTGATCCTGTGTGTCAGCCAGTGATGTGAAATCACTGGCTGACACGGTCTCTGCCCCCTCTCATGTAATAAAAATAAAATATTAGTTAAAAATAAAAAAAAAAAATAAAAAAAATTACAGCTACAAATAAAATATACTTAGATCATATATATGATCTAAGTGTGTGTGTGTGTGTGTATATAATATATATATAATATATGTGATCTAAGTATATTTTATTTGTAACTGTAATTTATTTATTTTTTTAACTAATATTTTATTTTTATTACAGGAGAGGGCGCAGAGACACATTATATATATATATATAGTAAATACGTTAATAAAAACAATTAAAATATATATGTGAAATATATATATATATATATATATTTATTTCGTTCTACGTGTATTTTGAGATATATATATATTTCGTTCTACGTGTATTTTGAGATTGAGATATAGATATATATATATATATATATATATATATATATATATATATATATATATATATATATATATATATATATATATATATATATATATATACATATATACATATATATATATATATATACACATACACACACGTATATGTATATATCACTATATGTATACCTATATATAAAATAGAAAATTATAAAAATTCCACACACACACATTAATATAATAATTTAACATAATTAGGTCCTTTTATTAATTACAATTTGCGGGACCTGCCTGACAACCCAGGCCGAAAGTATAGGAAATTTAATTTTCTAGCACTATATTTAACCCTATAACTTTCCATGACACCATAAAACCTGTACATGGGGGGTACTCTTTTACTCGGGAGACTTCGCTGAACACAAATATTTGTGTTTCAAAAACGTAAAATGTATTACAACGATGATATCCTCAGTAAAAGTGAAGTTTTTTGCATTTTTCACACATAAACGGCATTTACACTGACGATATTATTGCTGTAATACTTTTTACTGTTTTGAAACACAAATATTTGTGTTCAGCAAAGTCTCCTGAGTATAACAGTACCCCTAATGTACAGGTTTTATGGTGTTTTCAAAGGTTACAGAGTCAAATATAAGGCTTGCGTTTCAGATTGGTTATGTTGCCTTTGAGACCGTATGGTAGCCCAGGAATAAAAAATTACCCCCATGATGGCATACCATTTGCAAAAGTAGACAACCCAAGTTATTGCAAATGGGGTATGTTCAATCTTTTTTTACTAGCCACTTAGTCACAAACACTGGCCAAAATTGGTGTTCAAATTATTTTGCATTTTTCACACACAAACAAATATTAACGTTAACTTTGGCTAGTGTTTGTGACTAAGTGGCTACTAAAAAACACTGAACATACCCAATTTGCAATACCTTGGGTTGTCTACTATTGCAAATGGTATGCCATCATGGGGGTAATTCTCATTCCTGGGCTACCATACGGTCTCAAAGGCAACGTAACCAATCTAGCGAATTTCAATGTGAAAAAAACTGAAAAGTGTAACATGCTATATTTGACCCTGTAACTTTCCAAAACACCATAAAACTTATACATAGGGGTTACTGTTTTACACGTGAGACATCGCTGAATACAAATATGTGTATTTTATTGCAGTATAAGCAAACAGTATTATGACAGTCACAGTTAGAATGTCACGTAGAACTAAACATTTTATTTTTAAAATTCTTATTTTCTCCCATTTTTCAATATTTTATCAATTTTAAATTATGGTTTATACCTAAATATTTGATGTTAAATGAAAGCCCTGTTTCCCCTGAATAAAATGATATATAGTAAGTGTGGGTACACATAATATGAAAGAGGCGAATTACGCCTGAACAGACATGTAGTGCAAATTAAAGTTTTTGTTTGTTTTATTTTGATCACAACGTGTACATTTGGCTCAGTCCTTAAGGGGTTAATTTACAGGTTTACATAGAAACATAGAATGCGACGGCTGAAAAGAACTATTCAGCACATCTACTCTGCCCAGTTTTCTAAATACTTTCATTAGTCCCTGACCTTATCTTAAAGCTAGGATAGCCTTATGCCTACCCCACGCATGCTTAAACTCCTTGGCTGTGTTAACCTCTACACTTCAGCCGGAAGGCTATTCCATGCATCCACTACCCTCTCAGTAAAGTAATACTTCCTGATATTTTTAAACCTTTGCCCCTCTAATTTAAAGGACCACTATAGTGCCAGGAAAACACACTCGTTTTCCTGGCTCTATAGTGCCCTGAGGGTGCCCCCAACCGGCTCTGGAAAGGGGAAAATGGGTAAAACTTACCTTTTTCCAGCGCTGGGCGGGGAGCTCTCCTCCTCCGATCCTCCTCCTCTCCTCCCCGTCGGCTGAATGCGCACGCGCGGCAAGAGCAGCGCGCGCAGCCGGTCGCATAGGAAAGCATTATCAATGCTTTCCTATGGACGCTTGCATGGTCTCACTGTGATTTTCACAGTGAGAATCACGCAAGCGCCTCTAGCGGCTATCAATGAGACAGCCACTAGAGGCTTTGAGGGCTTCTCTGAAACTGCTATGTTTATAAAAAAAAATGGGTTAACCCTAGCTGGACCAGGCACCCAGACCACTTCATTAAGCTGAAGTGTTCTGGGTGCCTAGAGTGGTCCTTTAAGACTGTCCTCTTGTTGTGGTAGTTTTTCTTCTTCTTTTAAATAGAGTCTCCTCCTTTGCTGTGTGGAATCCCTTTATGTAATTAAATGTTTCTATCATATCCGCCCTGTCTCGTCTTTCCTCCAACCTATACATGTTAAGATCCTTTAACCTTTCCTTGTAAGTTTTATCCTGCAATCCATGAACCAGTTTAGTAGCTCTTCTGTGAACTTTCTCAAAAGTATCAATATCCTTGTGGAGATATGGTCTCCAGTACTGCTTACAATTCTCACCAGTGTTCTGTAGAATGGAATGAGCACTTCCCTCTTTCTGCTGCTAATACCTATACAACCAAGCATTCTGCTAGCATTTCCTGCTGCTCTACTACATTGTCTGCCTACCTTTAAGTCATCTGAAATTATTACCCCTACATCTCTTTCCTCAGATGTTGAGGTTAGGACTATAAAAAAAAAAAATAAAAAATAAAATTCTATACTCTGCACTTGGGTTTTTACGTCCAAGATGCATTATCTTGCACTTATCCACATTGAATGTCAGTTGCCACAGCTCTAACCATTTTTCGAGTTGTCATTTGCCATTTAGCTTATCCCTCCTGGAACATCAACCCTGTTACATATTTTTGTATCATCAGCAAAAATACATGCCTTACCATCAAGACTTTCTGCAATATCACTAATAAAATTATTAAAGAAAATGGGTCTAAGTACCGATCCCTGAGGTACCCCGCTGGTAACTAGAGCTTGCTTCGAATATACTCCATTGACTACAACCCTCTGTTGTCTGTCACTCAGCCACTGCCTTACCCATTCAACAATATTGGAATCCAAATGTAAAGATTGCAGTTTATTGATAGGCTTTCTATGTGCAACAGTGTCAAAAGCCTTACTGGCAATGTCCTCAAAATCTATTAATGCATCCATCACTATATAATCTATTGGTGTGCAGTACAAACCGTACAAAAACCGCAGCTTTACTCAAGTTATTAAAATGACAATATAAAACATATTACATCTGGATCTGTCAAAGCAACCTGATCACCAAGAAGACTTATTTGACTTGTGCTTTACAAAACACATCAACCTTCTCACAGCCACAGAACATTCAAGATACTTCGCTAATGCACATTTCACCTTACTTCATTTAGTTATCACTGCAAATTCACTAGAAAGTTTGAAATATGTCACTAGGACAAGGGATACATTTGGAAGAACTTCCAATATTTCTTTAGGGCAGTGATGGTCAACTTCACTGCTGCAGATGTGTGTAAAAGAACATTCAGTGTCAAGGTTTCCATCCAACACTACCAAAGGAAGGCTGTTTTTGAGTTGATGAAGCTCTTAATAGAAAGTCAGATAGTTATCAAGTCAAGTCACAATTTTACGGTAGATTTATGAATTTATTTTTGACATACTTATTGTTTTGATCCAGAGCCAAGGTTGGGCATTGTATCCCTCCCCCTATTTTGTCACAAACACATTGTTTGACAATTTCCAATGGTCAGGCAACTTGCTCCTCTAGAGATAGATAATTTTTTCTCATTCAACTTTTTCCTTCTTTTATGCCTCCAGTAAGCAGCATTTCCCAGGAAAGTGTGGATATGTACTTATCAGAACATGAAAATTATTTTTCCGTATGAATAATGATGTAATGACAGTGCCCAAAATGCATGAATGGTAAGCCTACCCTTTAAAATACATGTGTTTTAGCATATAGTATATATGTCATGTATGTTAGAGGATTTACATATTACAGCACAACTCAGATCTACACTCTAGGTCAGTGATAAGCAACCTTCGGCACTGCAGATGTTGTGGACCACATCCCCCATAATGCTCTTACACCTATAAATGCTGGCAAAGAATCATGGGAGGTGTAGTCCAAAACATCTGGAGTGCTGAAGTTTGCCTATGCCTGCTCTAGGTAAAAGGGGTGCAAGGCTCATACATACACACACACACACACACACACACACACAAAATGCATGCACACTCACAGAGAAAGCACTTACATCTGTCTCTGTTTCTCACAAACAATGGATGACAAACTCAGTTCAAAGTGAATGCCTAAAAAGGAACACTGAAAGTGCCTTGGCTAATACTACATTCTAAAGCTGTTCAAAAAAGAGATGGGGTCTTGTAACTGCCAAATTATAAATACTTCAAACTACATTATGTATTGTGCATTCTTGCACCACTTTTTGGATTTTTTTAATTCCACAACTGTGCATAATGCAGTGTGGTATTACCTTCAGGGAAATACAAAAAAACAAACAAAAAAAAACAAGTCATTGACTTTTTATCTAGTGGTTATGAGATTTGTTTTGCCATGAGCGAAAACAAAACTAAACAATTACTTAGGTTTACCAGGATATAGGACCAGAAACACATCAGTATAGGTTAGCTACCCATATACACTAAAAACACAGAACTAGTCATGAACAAAATGGTTTCTAAAAATGCCACATAGAATGTATGCTTATAAGTGTTTTAGGGAGATCATAAGAAAAAGAGTTATAGATGTGAGGAAAAAGTGGAATTTACACAGTTGAATAAAAGTGGACAATTTTGTATCTTAACATTTTAATTACAAAATGTCCAATTATGTATTTTTAGCACTTTAAAGTTAAGTTAGGAAACTAGGGTCTAGAAAACTGAACTATTACTAGACTCTAGCATGCAACAAATGCACTCTAAAACAGAAAATTTGCTCAAATGTTGTTGTATTAGATATGGAACTACCAAGTACGGATGATAAGCAATTGGTTTATTTAAAAAAACCAAAGCAAAAAATAAAAATTAACAACCTAAGCTATAGCAAAGCTACATTCTAAGATTGTTTGCACCTATGTTGCAAATTACTGAACAATTCCATATTGACAGTGTTTTACACTGTAAGAGTATAAAACGGTCACTGCAGAATTATTTTGTTATTGTTAATGAAAAACACTGCTTATACTGCGATGGTTTCTGTAGGTATATATGGATAATGTTGTACAGTTCTGAAATAGAGAGAACATTTAAAAAAAAAACAACCACAAACAACAACAAGTGATGCCAAGTCTTTGGAGAAGAATGCTATTGTAACCGTATAGCAGTATGTACTTGTTATACTTTCATTCCAGACCTGATCATGTGTTCTACATTAATATTGTGCAATTTGAATAAAAAATGCATTATCTAAATCAAATTTAAAAAGAAATAAAAAAATTAAAAAAAAGGAAAAGAATATTAAAATATGTTAAGACAAAGCTGCTGATTATTATTATTATATATCTGTATTATTATGAAAGCAATACATGTAATGTAAGATCTATGTGTAAGCACACAGTCTATGCAGGCTGTATGTCAGGTGTACCATGGAGTAAAAGGCCATGGCAGGTAAGTGGCTGTCATGAGGTACCTACCCTCCAGCAAACAGATGCACCAAGGTGTCTCTCTGGCTCATTCTCTCTCATTCTTGTCCCCTGCACACAGGAGGGAGAGGAGCAGGGAGAGCAGGGATTGGGGGGTTACAGAGGGCGCCCCTGGCTGTCTCTCACACTCTCCTTGTCAATGCAGATCCCAGGCTTTATATGAGCGGTGCCCTTCCCTGCCCCCCTCCTCCTCCCCCCCGGGTACTGGCTGTCACTCTGCCCCCAATTATGCAAATAATCCCGGGAATAGGACCATCCAGAGAGAGCTGGGAGCCCTGTGTCAGTGTCTGGGCCTGTCACCAGGTGCCGCTCGGCTCCCCTGCTCTGCTCTCCCCGCGGGCCGCCTGGATATCACCTGGAGTGTCCCTGCGTGTGCGTCACTCAGCGTATAGCGCCCACACAGGCTGTCGGGCAGTATGTCAGCAGTGACCCACCCACCAGCCTGGCTTAGCACTCAATGCGCCGCTCCCCCAATACCACCGCCGCCGCCACCACCGCCTGACTGGCCCTCATGAATATGCAGTACGACGCCGATATAAACACAGCCTGCGATTGGCTGGCACGGTGCCGGAAGTGACGCGGGATTCTGCTTGGAGGGCCCACGTGACCCAGTGCTGGGAGTTGTGCCCTGCTGCAGTGGGGGTCAGCCTGCTGGTAGTAACTGCGTACCCCAAGTCACAGCTGTATACTGTATGTAACCATACAGCCATACACGGACTGTGAAACACCTATACAATGTACAGTGTGAATTAACTTCACAGGGGATAGTGTTATAAAACATTGTGATACTTTTAAAGGACATTTATACACATTCCCTGTTAGACCTGACATTCATAGCACTGCAATACCATCAGCGGCCAGTCTATTATTGGTCTATTATTGGTCTTTTATTATGTGACTACTAGTACAAAGTGCTGGGAATATTCCTGAAATGGACAGTTTAGGTACCATAACAACTTCTACATCTAAATGACGTCGGACACAATTTTTCCCGCAAGGGGTTAAACCGTTGTTGCCTGCACCGCGGACTGATGCCCTCCCCCCGGGGCATCCGGCTTCTGAAATTTCTGTTATACACCATTAAATTGCACATTGTGTTAACTTTTATTTTTCTTCATGTGGTGTGCAGGTTTCCTTAAAATAGGATATTAGAGATTTACCGAATTACATCACAATTCAGTACATTCAGGATGCAGATGGAGCAAACCATGCATTGGAGTGGGAAAGAAACATTATTTTAGAATTCCCACCTCCACATAGTATGGTCTATGAAAGAAAATGGTGGAGCTTATAACACTCATTGACAGGGATACACATAGATGTGCACAGTTCCAGGGTAGATGTTCATTTCTACATATAATTTTATTTTTTAGTCCTAAAAAACTAACACAGGCAGACAGTCACACACCCATTCACACACACAGTTACAGGCAGTCACAGGCAGACACTCACACAAAGTCACACATACAGTCACAGGCAGACAGTCGACATACAGTCACAGGAAGACAGTAACACACACACACACCATTTTTCTATACCCCCAAAATAAAATGCAACTTTTCCTGTGCCACTTAAATCCCCTTTTGAACGTCTTACGTCCTTTTGTGTTTCTTATACAAATCTTTTGAATTTTTATTAATTATAGGGTATCTTATTCCCCTTTAGTGTATATTATCATCTATTTTTTCCTTTTGTGTGTGTCTTACACCCCTCTTGTGTGTAATTTACAACCCCCTCTTTGTGTGTCTCTTACTTCCACCAGCCACTGTGTCTCTTACTCCCATCCAGCCCCTTTGGGAATCTCTTTCTGGTCCTAGCCCCTTTGTTTTTCTCCTTCTTCCTCCAGCCCCTTTGTGTTTCGCTTATTCCCAAACCCTTTTGTACTTTCTCCCCTTTCGCAGCCCCTCTATTTCTTCTGTGCAACCCATCTATGTGTCTCTTTCTCCCAAGCCCCTTGGTGTGGCTCTTCCCCCAGCACCTTGTCTCTCCCTCTGTGTCTCTTTTTCCCATTTTCCAGCCCCTTTTGTGTGCCTCCTCACCACCCACAGCCCCTTTATAGTCTCTTTCTCTGCATCCTTTTGTCATCTCTCCCCCCTCACCCGTCCTGTTCCTGCTCACCTATCTTCATGTAGCTTGGTCGAGTGGACTGTGGTAGAGAATCTTCTGTATCCTCTACCCGGTCATACTGTGGTGGAATCTCGGTAAAAATAAATTTAGTAGGCCGAGATTACCACGTGGCATGTGTACGTGCATATGCTGACGTATCGATCAGTTGGTTGCACGAGGCAAGATACGATCAGTAGTGTACGGAGCATGTGCAAGAATACAGGATGTAGTATTCCCCTCCTCCATTGTGCTGGACAAGCCATGCGGTCAAGCAGGAAGTTAATTCTTATTTGTAATGATTGGTCAAGAGAATGTGCGGGTGGAGCTTAATATGGGAGGAGTTATGTGCCTATATAGGGAGCCTGCACTATTGTTCAGGGCTCAGAACTTGCTGTATTTTTGGTGACATTAGTCCCTCTGAGTCCCGATCGGTGATCCAATAAAGAATCTCTTCCTTCCTGAAGAAACCTGTGTCCATCTCTCTGTGCTTTGCTTCCGTCAGTTTCTCCGGTATCATTTGGTGCATTGGCCGGGAAGCTCATCGTTCAACGGTAGCTGAGAGGCAGAGGCGTGAGACGGTCTATCTTTGCCCACGTTCTCTACGGCTGCACCCCTGAACTTCTGCGTGGACCTCCCTTCGTCTCGGCGCCACTGGTCTGTTGTCCAGGAGATCATCGGCCTCTACGTAAGAAGTGCTGGGGTGTCCCCGTCGATGAGTGTGAACTCAGGTTCAGGAGCGAGGAGGTAAGACAACTGCTGTTTTAGACGGCAGACCCACTAGGGGTATACCGATTGTGCGGTAGGCCCAAAAGGGGTTTAAATCTGTGTATGGAATCTGCCCCCTCTGTCGGAGGGAAGGAGCGAAGGCGCACCGCTCGATCGAACGCTCTTTAGTAAGACCGTTTGATCTGGTTAGTCAGGCGGGGTCCTGTGTAAATAGCCCTAGCCGGACACCGGTGTCTTGTCTAGACTAGCGTTCTAGGGTGTATATTACGTTCGCTAGGTCGGAGGGACCGGGAGACTAAGCGGCGCCTGTGTAAATTCGGTTCGCTAGCTCTCAACCTATCTTGGCTAAGTGGGAAGGCGTGTAAATTTGGAACCCACTAGACTTTTGATAGAGTAAATAGACTAGAAGGGCAATTTGTAAATTTCGCCCTCTAGTTCGCTATATGTGGTGTTTGGGCAGTGTGGCTAACCAAAACGGGTGTATATAGTTTTAGGTAGTCCATTCAAGGTACTGGCCAATAGTTTAGTTGGGATTGTAAATGTGTTAAAGATTGTTAGTAAAGTGTATATCTTGTTAGATAGCGCGAGCTCAGCCGTCTAGCGAGAGTGTTAATAGTGTGTTGCTGTATCATAGTGCACGGTACCATAACCCTGTATATTTACTGACACTGTATATAAGTACTAATCATTGTCGTCTATTGCATGTTTAACACCGTAACCACTAATAATTGTATTGTGACCTTAAATTGTGCTTTGACCTATGCTAACCGTACTGTAACCGATACTAGTAAAAGACGATGTTACTGGGGTGTGTTATAGACGGGTAATTCATATATAGAGAATTATAGCGTGGGTGACTGTATAGTTTCGCCAAAGGGCATAATATTGATTATTTAGTGACTGGTGTAACAGCTGTGTGTGTACGGGAATTCCCTGAGTGATTATTGTGTTATTGTGTACGTTTCACTCGGTAACTGTACCACGTGGTGCTGTTGCCAGAGGAAACGGGTGTGACTGTTGAATAAGAACGCGTGCATAGTATTCGTTGTTAACGACGTTCCATTGATAAGTATGGGCGCGTCAGAGTCAACGATTTCGGATCCCTTAGGTTGTATGGTAAAGAATTTTAAAAAGGGATTCAAAACATGATTTTGGGGTTAAAATGTCTCCTGTACGTTTGGTCACTTTGTGCACTAGGGAGTGGCCTACTTTGGTTGCGGCATGGCCGCCGCGTGGCAGTTTGGATCCAACCCTGGTACAGCGTGTACACGTGGTTGTATCAGGTAGGCCTGAACTTTACGGACAGTTTCCATACATTGATTGTTGGGGGCAGGCCGTAAACGACTCGCCAAAATGGATCCGGATATGCCACGAGGAGTAATGTCGCCTCATGGTGGCCAGGACTTGTTTGTCCACTAGGACTGGTGTTAGGCCCATTTTGGACACGCCCC